TGTTTAATATCAAAGATCCTGTATTTGGAGTTCAACGGAGGTATTTTATACATTAGAAGAGAATTTTGAGTATTTTAATGTAAAATTTAACACAGGCAAATCTGGACTTTAAAAAGTTTTCTATATCTTCTTAAGATCCACGTCGTTTCTTCTAAAAATTAAATTAAAATGTCAAAAATAAGCGTTCACTTCTTTCAAGAATTTCAACGAAAACGAACGTTGCCTGTTCATAACTTCGTAATATTCTTCTTTAACGGTTTTCTGACTCAGTTTACGCGTAAGAATCTACTCCAAACAGCGGCTGAATAAATGCATGCATCGATCGAGGGGAAAGTGTACCTGTAAGGCCTTTTTTTCTGATGATCCTGATACCGTATAGCACTGGGTACATCACGCGACCACTGAGTTCCAGGGGTTTTCTGTTTCTGTCGGTGGTTCCTGTATGGTGTCAGCGGGGGCAAGGACACATCGGCCACACTTTCCTGCTGCTTCGGTTTCGGCTTCTCCTGGACCTTCAACGGGATCGGTGGAGTCTTAGTGTCCATGCCCGTCTCTGGCACCGGTTCACAACTGGTCTGACCTCGCGTGGAAACATCTTTCGCCCTCTCGGCGGATCGAATTCATCGCGCCGAAGAGAATGTCCGGTTCTTCTACCCGTAAACTGGGTCACCCCTTCGAATAAGATTCAATGCAAACTTTGTTCGTTGGTGCAGTCATGAATCTTTTAACAGGCACAAGACAATCTTTTTCTTTATCATTTTTTCCGCCACCTAGATGGATACATGCATGACATGCGTACACGAAACTTGAGAGACGAAGATTAAAAACATATTACGTGTATTGTAAATTTAAATCTTTCAAAAGTTTGTTCTATAGGTTTCGAAAATGTATATATTTTATGTCGAAGGAATTTCTTTGTTAGAACGAATTTATTTGGTTGGAAGTAGTTGACGCGACTGCTTTCATTATTTGCGTTTTCGAATTAAAAAATTTAATGATACTATAAAACAACTATCATTCTGTATAGGTAAATACGTGATAACAGAAAGTTACGAAACAAGGAAAAGTTACGAACAACAACAACGTCAATAATTCCACTAGTCGGTTATTATAGACCGTGCATATCAACACACGACTGTAAACTATGAATAAAAACTGACTGAATGAATGTAAAATGAAGGCGTTTCACCAAGCTGTGTGAATCCTTGATATTTTTTTACCGCTGTCCGTAATATTACTACTGTCTGACTAAAAGCGCTTTAACCACTGTGCACCAGTAGTAAACACAGCCACTGCGTGACTGACAATGAACATCGTACAGCACAGCAATCCCAATAATAATCGCTATGAGATATTCTGGTATGTCTGCAACAATGCACTAAATTCACCTAAATTCCACGACTAAACGGCGCGAGGAAAGCCGGGAATTTTTGATTTTCTTTGATATTTCAAAGTGAATTTCGCACCGATATCGATCGTACGGGAACGTCTCCTAACGTTTTTCTAAGAACAGCGAATAGTTGGTTAATGATTAATTGATTGACACCGAGACCTCGTTCTTACAGTCAAGAAAGAGTCGGCACGATCGCAGATCCCATCAGAGGTTTATCACTAAACTCGACCCGAATTTAAAGCTCGGTTACTGACCACGTGGTAGATTGACCAGGTCACTCGCTGCCATAGAAACCTAACGCCACAACACCTATCATTCGTCGAGAACTATTATGCCGGATTTCACGGCAAGGTCGACATATCTCCGATTTTCGTTTCTTTCTTCCTTGTCCCGCGAGAGCGAAAGGATCGGAATTTGTGGGAAAAACGACTGATCAACTTCATCAACGAGGAAAATTCAAATAATTTTCCTTCTATCTTTTAATGATATTTCAACGTCGCATAAAATTGCAGAAAAAATGAGGAAAAAGAAGATACGGAGGAAAAGCAAGCGATCACGAAGTACGTATATATGGTAGCTTGTTCATTTGATTCGCTTTAATTGCTCTTCGCTTATCGTAAGGTGATCGCTTTCCACGCAAGACGTATATTGTTGTACAATCGATATTAAAATTTGAAATTTTAATCGTTTTATTTAACATTCAACGGCCTGTGTAATGCTTACTTTCTTGCGTGAGCTAAGAAATTTTTGCAAGAACAAGCGAAGGATGTGGGATGAATAAGAGCGGAGAAGAGCCAAAAATTCGTGGTGTAATCAAAGGGGAATGCGCTGGTAGAAAATAGAGCGATATGAAATCGATTGATTTTCAAGGGAAAAGAAGTTTGATAAGGAATTAAAGACGGACAGCTGTGCACGCCACTGGCACCAAACGAAATTGCTTCTATCGGCCGTGTTGACGAGTGTCCTTGAGGTTCACCGTGAAATAGGGGAGTCTAATTCGAGTGGACTATGGAAAGTGCAAAATGCGATCGAATTACCGATACAATCGTGATTATGATCACAGCATGGCACAGGTTATAGCCACACGAACACTCTTAATAACGATCTTCTATAGCAACATTTAAAATCGCAGAATTCTCCGTATCGGTGAAAATCGAAATTTTAATACCATTCAGGATGGAAGTTTCGAGTTGTTTGCCTTAATCACTCCTGTCAATGAAACACGTTTCTACCAAATTGGATCACTGTGACAGATTAGTTCTCTCACGCTTCTGTCGAATCGAAATCGCTGAAATGCAGAAAATCGTTTCGTAACGTAACGTATGCATCGTCGAGGCAATTTTCTCTGCACCTCGAACAGTGTTACTATCGTTCTTAAACAGCGGTGTCTACGTTCTTTGGCTGTTTCCCGTCACGTGTCACGCTATCGTGGAACCAGACTTCCAGTCAGTTTATAATGTGTGTAACAGCACAGAAGAATCGATAGTAGTTTTCAAGTTACGATCTATCTTTTCTAAAGTCCTACGCCAATTCCTACGGGATTCGTTGTTATTAACGATGAATTAATCCTTTAAGCACGGAGAGCGAATACATCCGCTCCGATTAATCGTTCGTCCGTTATGAAATTATGATTTATTTATAATTCATAATTAAATTATAATGTATTATTATACAGAATATATATGCAGATGCAATATAATAAAATACATCAAAAATATTTGTAAGACAATAAGAGAAGCATTTCTCAATATTTTATATTGGAAAAGAATATTGCGAAAATTCTTTCTCTATTTAAGGGAATTAATAAGATTATTCGATAGCTTTGCACGGAAAAAAGGGTGCGTTCAAAAAAGTATCAGATGATGTGTCATAATGTATTTGTCATAACATGTCGATCGTACGAACTCGATGGATTAATTATTGTCAAGAATAGATATATTTTTATATTTCTGGTCGGTCAACAAATCGCAATGTATTGATTTTAAGCTAAGAAAGAAATCCTCTTAAGATATATAATTTGTGAAATTATTTCAAAAAAATTATATTTCCTTCATTATCAAACTTCTTTTGATTATAAAAAATAATCTATTAGTATTATAAAATTTACTACTTGCAATTTCTAAAATTTCATTGATTTAATTCAGTGATATAAGAGGTTGCAAAACATCCATCATTAAACAAAATTACTGAATCTTTGCAAAGATGTTCCAACAAAAGAAAGCGATTGACTAAGAAGAAATCTGAAGGGAATAAGGGGGGTGAGAAGCATAGAGTCTTCACAGTGGTATGAATAGTAAAAACTAAAAAAAGTGCATTCTAAAATCCAAGAATGTTTCCGCTGGAGCACTGAATCAGTGTTTAGCAAAATGGCAAACGTTTAATGATATCTATATACACGTACAACGAACCCACGTGCACGTGTTGCCGTAACGCGGCGATGACTGAAAATCGTTATTTCGTTGATTCACCGTTGCTGCACGTCGATCGTTATTGCTCCTTTAATAATTCGCGGAGGCCTTCGTTTCTTCGTGATGGCGCGTCGTTAATATTTAATGATAACATCTCTAGTTTCATGTGAGATTACATGCGCTGCGCAAGTGAGACGCTATGAGAACGTTTGATTTATCGCATTTATTGATGATCAAGTTGATCGTTCGCGATCGTAGATCGGAAACAGAGCGTGAAAACAATCGCGATTGTATGAATAATCGTGAAACAATGAAATCGATCTGAAGGATGCAAGAAGGAAAAAAAAAAGGAATTGTTCATCCTGTTGCGATCCTGAAACGTATATACACATCTATCTACGTATATACTATAAACGTATATACTATCTCACTCTTATTTTGGCAAAAGATGAAATTGAAATGTTAAAGTGTGAAGATTACACGAGATTTCTTAATGTTAAAAAAGTATAATTGGTCTAAAGAATAAGAGTAGGATCGAGACTTAGACTCTTCTGATTCGTTGATATTCGTTCCTTTCATTGCGTGCTTATTTGAGAAAATTAATGAGGGTGAATGTGAGTTAGTAGTATTAGCGTGTTTCAGCTGAATCGAGTAGCTCCTCTTGAGATAAGCCTCATATCGTAAGCGTATTTCATTGATGAATATGTTATCTAAGTTCTGTTTGTGATGCGTAGAATAATTCGTCGAAGAAAATGTGATTATTTTTAGCGTGTGACAAACAGGATATTAATTTGAAAAAAAAGGATATTAATTGGAAGAAGAAAATTATTGATAAAAGTGTTGACACAGATTGATAAAACTATAAACACATTGATTGTGTTATATAAGTATTAAATGCAGGAAAATTTAAAAAAAAATGTAGCATAAAGGATAAAGATTAATGAATATTTTCATATTATAAAGTTTTAATATGAATATTTTCATATTAATTTTTTAATATAACTTTTTATTTTATATAAGTATTATTTATGTATATTATAAAAAATATACGTGATTAATGTATAGCAGTATAAATTTCTGCTTGCTATACGATAAATATATATCAGTGTAACAATAGTCGTTTCGTTGCTCGTAAATTACATTATTTAGCTTTATCTTTTAATAAAGGTTTAATATGAAATTTAAAGGAAATTATAAAGTGCATGAAAATATATATATATTACCTATATTTACTATACTATTAAATTGACGTGTTATTCAAAACGAAAACCAACGTGTCTAAGCATTGCACGTGCGTTTCATTGTCTGTGATAATTATTTGAATCCAACACAGAGTATTAGAAGAGTGAATAATATGGGAAAATGTTGTTTTATTCAAAGCTTACTCTCTGAAAAATTGCGCTGTTAGCTTTTGACTATTTTCCATCGCGAGATATAATCTTGAAAGACGTATTTGCCACTGATTGACGTTCCGTCCACGAGGTTTATATATTTTAAAGACTCTGAAGCGCACCACGCGAGGGTGGGACGCGCACTGACATCCCTTTGATACCAAGGCTAGTTAATGTAAGGGTTGCTTAGTTACCACCGTCTCAGTAACGTATCAACAGAGGCAGAAACATTTATATTTGTGATTAGAACTAGATCTTAGTATTTCTTAGTTGGTCTATTATATTTGATTTAAATTTTATTTTTAATAGAATTGATATATATTTTTAATTTCTATCTCTGGCGATAACAGAATTTAGCAGTGAAGATATGATACTGATTAACTCTAGATTGTAAATAATATTCGGTATAATTATTAATTAAAAACATGCGTGGAACGTACATAAACACCTATTTTCCATTTTATATTTTATTTTAACATGATCATCTTCTTATTATATGTTACTCTAATTTTTTACTTTTATTCTGATTTATAAACATATTTTTAGTAATAAATGTTTCATCAAAAAGTGATCTATTTTTTACTGAAAAAAAATAATAAAAGATAAGGTTTTGTTGTATAAAATAAAAGAAATAATTATACAATATATTTATTAAAATAATGAAGTACATAACTTTTCTAATAAATAAGATATATTTATATAGTATTGCTATTAATTCCATTACTAAAGAAGATATTCTAACAGGGGGTATAGCTCAGTGGTAGAGCATTCGACTGCAGATCGAGAGGTCCCCGGTTCAAACCCGGGTGCCCCCTGAGCATATATTTTTTATTTTATTCCAAATTTAATTTTTTTAATTGATTTAATTTCTGTGATATATTGTAAGCTTTACATTTTGTTACACACGATATTATATGCAAAAATATTTATTATGCCACGTAATATGATAAGAACTGCATTATTAGTCAATTACGAGAATATTATATGTTTTTATAGATATACTATATATTTTGAATTATATATTTAAGTAATTTTTTGATATAAGTATATATTTTTTGCAATATGTAACATAAGTTTCTATTTTCTTTTTTTAATATTAAATTTAATCGGCAAATTGATTAAACATACAAGAACAAGCAATTTTTACGAAAAATCTTATTCAAAAAATTATTTTTATACTTATGCAAATGAATTATTTAAGTCGTCAAATTCGTAGTGTAAATTATTATTTTAATTAGAGTAAATTAAAGACATCTGCTACAGAATGACAAAATCACTATATATCAAGAGTGGGAGTATTCGCAACGAATGACGGGGTATAGGGACGTGTAGCATGCATTGTTTTTATGTTCCTTTGTAAAAATAATCGGGTCTGAGCCCGCAAGTTATAGAATTTTCATTAGTATCTGGTGTTTTTGAATAAGCAGTTCAAGAAATTCAATTAAAAAATCATGAATTATAATCATTCAAGCCCACGACGAGGTAAGTTTGTTGATTCATGAATGTTTAATTTTTTTAATCCATATCTATTCGAAGCTAAGATTTAATGACGTAATGATTTAACAAAAAGGAAGCCAATATTTGCTTATATATTTTTATATTTTCTTAAAGAACGTGGTAAGAACGACGTAATATTATGAAATATTACATTGAGGTTATGATTCCCTTAAGGCTACCATATTCACTAAACGTTTAATTTTTATATTAAAATAGTTATGATTTTATTATAATAATATCTGATATAATACGATTTAAATGAGAAATTTCCAACAGGAAAGCCAAAGAGGTTAATTGATCCATCTGCTGGTTTATCTGCATCAGCGCCAATGTCAATGCCAATGCCAATGCCTCAGAGTCCTTATATGTATAATCAGCAGGTAAAGTTTAACAAATGTATTATAACTTATTATAGTATATGAGAAATCTAAATTTTTCCTTTATCGAGCAGATTCCTATGGATAATGGTATGGCACCTGAATATGGATTTAAGCCTCAGCCATATGGATATACTTCACCACCAATGCAACATTATCAACCTCCTGAAAATCATGGTGATGATTATGCATCATCACAATTTGCTACGCAATTACTGACACAGCCAATGGTTACAAACATGGCTGTACAATATGGAAACGTTTTGGTTGGATCTGGAAAACAGCAATTTGAAAGATATGTGCCAATTTCAGCTTTGAAATACTATTTTGCTGTTGACACCAACTATGTTGCTACGAAGCTGGCTCTGTTATTTTTCCCATTCACTCATAAAGTAAGTTCTTGTCTTTAGTAAATGGAGCACTTAATTATCGTGAAATGGATGTAAATGATTAATTATTTTAACAGGACTGGTCTGTGAAGTATGAACAAGATGCTCCACTTCAACCACGTTTTGAAACAAATGCACCAGACATGTATATTCCAACAATGGCGTTTTTGACATATATAGTTTCAGCTGTATTAGTTTCAGGAACACAGGAACGTTTTACCCCAGAACAGTTAAGTATTTTGGCTAGTACTGCTCTTGCGTGGGGAGTCATAGAATTGATCGTGCACATTGTAACTCTTTATGTGATGAATCTTGAAACGAGTCTTTCAACGTTAGATTTATTAGCTTACTGTGGTTACAAATACGTCGGTATGAATGCAGCTCTGTTAATTTCATTATTATTTCGAAAATTTGGCTATTATCTAGTGTGGTTGTACTGCAGCGCGTCTTTAGCATTTTTCCTAATGCGGTCGTTGAAATTAAGAGTCATTCCGCAAAACCATAGCCCATACACAGCTTCTGGCAATAAAAGGAGACTCTACTTCATATTATTTGTAGCAGGCATTCAACCTGTGCTAATGTGGTGGTTATCGTATCACTTGGTTTAATTAATAATTACACGGAAAGAAATTGAAAATGCGTTTTAATGAAAAACAGGATATGTACGAGATATGTTTATTTGATTATTCACACAACGTATGTGCATTTTTGTAATAAAAATCCCTTCCAAATATTCTCAGTTATTTATTAAACAGGACCTACTGTTTAACGCAGGATCTTGTCACTTTAGTGTTTTAATTATGTATTAATAATGTTAAATTAATTTAACAAATCTAGTTTTCGAACAGATATCTAATTTTGTAATATTTATTGATTGATATTAAACAATTTTATGTGAATTTTAATCCGACTAACGTTACCGGCCGAGCGATTACCTAGCAAGCGCCATTTTCACGTAACGCGCGTTTGTTTACCTCGGTTACCCGCCGAAAGGTGTCTTCGTACTTTTCCGTAACCGTTCGTCGATTCGCGAAACGGTCGTTCGTATGGCGCCACGAGCGGGATTAGTCAGTCAGCCGCGAGCCGCGGTGAACTGAAGGTGTGGTGAGTGTATCTGGGGGCCGACGGGCCAAAAAATGGCGGAGCGTACGAAGACGACAGCCCCGGCCACCCGGCCCGTTCCCATGAAGCTGTTTGCCTCCTGGGAAGTGGATTGCACTGCACCGAACTGTATACCAAGGTAATCGATAATTGATCGTTAATTCTCGCACAGCCTCTGTGTTACGCGCCGATATTCGCGTTGTAACGTCGCGTTTGTCACTTGGTGGACGCCAGACACTCCGACGGGCATTCACACGCCCTTTTTTCCACGATCGCTCGCGTTTTTCTGTTCGCACCCTTGCCCCAGGGGCACCGGTGTTCGCGTGCTGCCTCGACCTCGCGTCGGATCAACGTGTTTCTTTTATAACATACACCAGTTAGGTTATTTGGGATGCGTGTCAGGTTGGGACTGCGTGGCGCGCTCTGCCCATTGTAGGATGCTAGCTGTCAATCGGATGTGACAGATCATCGAACGTGCGTGCATCGTAATCCCGATCACTGTGGTTTTATTTCACTGGTACTTGATCGATATCGTTTCGATACCGGCGATTCTCTATTTTCTTTCTTTCTTTCTTTCTTTCTTTCTTTCTTTCTTCGTTTGTTTGTATCTACGGTTCGGCTCGAGAAGTAAATAAAAAAGATCAGACACGGAAAGCGAGATAGAGATAGAGATAGACAGAGAGAGAGAGAGAGAGAAAGAGAGAGAAAGAAAAGGAAAGTTCAGTTTTGTCCAGCGACATTGCTACCGTGGAAGAATTGTTGCGACGTTGTAAAGTCGTGGTAGGCGCGAACGAATAAACAAGTCAAACAAACAGCCGTGTGTCGATTGTGCGTGTAGTACACGCTCGTTAGGTTGGAGTGTGTTTCGCCGAACTTGTTCTCGCTTTCGTGCACCAGGATATCGTGTTCGAATGCCATGGTTGTCCGTTTTCACGGGCGCGTTAATTCGACCTTAGCCACCGTTTCACGATACAACGTCCCATTGAATCACATTTTTCTTCTTCGTTACGTGTATTTCCACACGCCGATGGGCTTTCGAAAATAAACAGAAGCCTCCATTCACATAATGTACGTGAATTATTCTCGATACGCAGTTTCACGATCGTATGCGTAATTAAGTTGATACACATTCAAATTGGAATTGTCTTCAATTGGACTTCCTAGAAATCGAGACTTCTCTAGAAATCGAAATCCCTACGCATCTACGACTAGTTTTTTTTTTTTTTTT